GCTGGAATGCCACCTCTCGGGCCTGCTGCAGCCCCAGGCAGCTCTCACCAGTTCTCCAGCCGGTCTAAGCAGATATTGGGGGGGCCGCCGATGCAGGCGATCTGCTGCCGTCTCTTCCAGTCTGCCAGCTCCTCGTCTGCCAGCATCTTCTGCACATACTCCATGGCCGAGAGCAGCCCCGCCAGCTCGCTCACAATGCCCTGGCGAGGAAGAAAGCAGCTTTCACCACCCTCCGAGTCACAGCGCCGCAGGCAGGGTCGCACCCCGGGCTGCTCTCCGCTCTGGCCGTGCAGGACCACCAAAGCCATCCTCCAGGAAAAGGGCACCCCCGGACTGGCTCCACCACGTACCCTTCGCATCTGGTCCAGCGCCGTCAGCATCTGCTCCAGCTGCTGCATTTTCTGCCGGGTCACGGACTGATTGTTTCCATTCAGATCCTGCATGTCTGTGAGGAGGTGTGAAACGTCAGCCCCGCACGGGACCCCTCCTACCCACCACCATCACCCAGACAAACCGCTTCAACCCCGAAGGAGCGGACACCTTAGAAAGCCCTCACCACTTAAGCACTATCACCTCCACAAGCCGTTCCTTTGCTCACAGGCAGAGCTCTGGTTCATCCCCCCCGCAGGCAGAGTCAGTGGCAGAAACAAAGAAGGTTTCTCCAATTGCCATGCAAATGCCCTGAGCCTAAGCCACCCTCCTGGCTTGGGGAGGAGGCACCGCGAGGGCTGGAACATGCCCTCCAGCATGTTTCCTTGCAGGAACACACTTTGCTTCGCCAGGTGCTAATGAGCTTCCATTACCTCCTTGGCTTTTCAAAGTCTTGTAGTTAAAATCAAAGTCATCCTGGAGATTTTCCACTACTTTCATCTTCTGCTCCAGATCCTGCAAGGCAAGAGATGTGGATTTATTCAAAGTACTAAATCCCTGCGGTGGGGAAAGGAGAAGGTGCTGAGGCAGCACACATACCTGCACCCTCTTCCTCACATCCTGCAGATGCTGCTCCAGCATCTGCTGCTTTTCTGTCACCACGGCTGCTGTCGGGTGCGTGGCCTGTCCCCCTTGCTGCGGAGGGGACAAGGAGGGCATGAGAACAGGGCCATGGCCCAGCAATGCTCCCCTCCCAGCCCGAGGAGGTCCTGCAGGAAGGGGCTTCATCCCCCTCTTTAACAAAAGCCAGTGCAGCTGCTCCCTTGCAGCATTAGCTCCAGGGCTCCAAAGTGCACCCATGCACGGGGTGAGAGGAGAGATGGATGCACAAAGCAAAGAGGCAGCCAGCAGAGAGCAGCGAGGCTGCACCCTGGAGGGAAGCAGGCACTGCCCAGAGAGCTGAAGTCATCACCCACCAGAGCCAAACCTTCCCTCAGCACACAGCAGCTTTGTTACTGAAGGGAGCACATGGGGAGCTGCAGCTGCAGCACCGAGCCCTGCACGGGCTGGGCTGGAGGCCCCAGGACTCCCACCCGAGGCACTGACCTGCGCCGCGGTGGCCGCGGTCTGGAGGAGCCGGGACTCTTCCCACAGGCAGCGAGCCAAGATGCGGGCGATCTCCATCGGCTTTTCCACAGAGCATCTCGTCG